TATGCGCTTATTTTCCGTTTCAAAAGTTCATGTGGAGATGATCCAAACTACTGATCCAAACTTTCATCCCGTACTCTTGTTTCCATGTGAGAGACTGACTGGATTGTGCGTGTTTAATGTCCAAGTCCTCCTGCAGCCGGTTATATACAGGCAGCGCCTGCTAGGGTAATGAGATGCAAATGAGCTACTCCCCAATCTGGCTCTGCTTGTCACAAAGGGACACTTTTCAATCTACACCACCCCCAACCCCCCAAGAAAAAAAAAAATCGGCAAATGGTCACTGAGCTGTAAAATGTGCAACTCCTTGCCACTGGGAGAGAGTGGGAGAGAGAGAGAGAGAGAGAAAAAGAAAAAAAAAATCTAATTTACATACAGGAAAATAAGCAACCTTGAGAATCCTGTACATCCCACTCTGACATAAAACCACAAATTACATCACACATTGCAGGAATGTCGCATTCCTGATAACGGGACAACAGTGAAGCAGGGATTGAGGAGATTCAAAGCTGTTCAATGCAGTTTGATTAAGTAAAAGTTTTTTTTCTTTTAGCATAGGTTTGATAAAATATTGTTGCTTAAGTTTGTCATTCCAAACTATTTATAAATCAGCTTTAAACTAATAAAAAGGCTAGTAGCCTACAGTAAAATGTGATATTAATTACACAATAGGATGCACATCATGTAATAACAAATAATATTTCATAGTAATAGCATAGTTATTGTTGATTAATCAAACATTTACACATAAACCAGAGTTTGTTTTTAAAATAATACGAACAACTAAACAATTTTTGAAAAACTTTTCAATGCAATACATTTTAGATTCTTTTAGTGATCGGAATTTTGTTGAACAGAGAAACTTTTGCTAAAAGGAAAATTCGAAATCAGGAAGAATAAAATGTTGTATAATAATAAACAAATACCATTAAAGAACCAAAACATTGCTAGACCTTCACATAGTTCGGGTAAACTAAACACGTAGCCTAATTCTGAATTATTTATTTAAACAACAATGCATTTCAGTGAGTTTTGACGACTATAAGTTTGAAGTTTTCATCTCTAAACTGGATAGTAAACATCGAGCTGGTGTGTGTCGTTCGCGTGGCTGTCATTAAGGCACTTTGTTATTGTGTGCGGGGAGAATAAGTTTTTTTTTCTCTCTGTGCTCTCAGCTGTATGGTAATTCACACAGCACCTGCTCCCCTCACAATGTCGCGGGGAGAAAGAGCTCCCCTCTCCACACGTCATCCCTCACAAAAGTACCTAGCAGCTTCTGTTGTTTTGGTGTTTTATCAATTATTTCGCGTTTGATTCGACGAGGAAGTTTTCTTTTAATCGTTCATATTGTCAAATGAGTCGAGCTCTGGTCTCGTGAGCGTTTGTTTGTGTGCGCGCGCGAGGGTGGTCTTCATTAGCGCGTTAATTAAAGCGCTCGGTCCAGAGGAATGCGACAATATCGTTGACACTGTTAAACTGAAGACTTTTAGCACTCTATTCAGAATATTTTCTGAAAGAGATCGCGTATTTTAGTTTGTTCATTGGTATTATTATTTTATCGAAAGCGTCATGCGACGCGACAGGTGTCATTGCATCACATTCAAGAGTTAGTATTTGAAACGCAGGCCATAAATAAGCGCCACACAGCTATCATCACACTTTCGCCCACAATTCTTTCGGCCTGACGTTGCACACATTTCCCGATTAGCCCAGCAAAGCGTCAATGAAAACCTTAAGATTTATGCCCACTTCGCGTATTCTTTGCGCGCATAATTTATGCCACGCGATTCTGTCCTGGTTAAATCAAGCAGAAAGCTCCTTTCTCGCATTCCTCCTCTTTTTCTGAAGGTGGACTATGGGGAGACTGTTTAACTTAAGTGTTTCTATAGGGGGCTGTTGTACTTTAACTCCTGCCCACCAGTAGCTGCGACGAACAAAGCCGGGACTCGAGCTCTGACTCTTCATCTTTCTTTGCGCTTTAATTTTCATTGATTCTGAATACAAGGGGAGCCCTCGGGGACTCTCTCTGAAGACGCGGACAGCCCCCCTCCCCTCCCAAGCCAACCATCTGCTCCCAACCAAATGGCGTTTTTTCACATCACCGCTGCATGTCTCTACAGCCTCTCTGGGTAGCGCGAGCGCACGCAGGCTTCCTCCAAATGAGGCTGGAAAGCATGCAAAAGAACGCCGCTGACCGGCCATATGGTTAGGGAAGCTGCAGTAAGTGGCCGTGGGAACGCAACGACCGCACTAACGGCTCGTGGTGGGAGAGTGTCTGCGAAAATCCGCCAAATTAAGTAGAGCGCAAACTGAAAAGAGGACGCAGAACGCGCGCAATGCCTCTGCACGTGCAACAGGAGACGCGCTGGCGATGAAAGTGCTTCATGCATGTGAATGCGCTTTAAGGTCATTTTGTGTCCAGGAAGAGGACAATATACCAAAGTAACAGTAGGTTCCCAAATCATGACGCAGCAGCTGATTAAAATAACAAAGGACGTGTCGCGTGGCTCGGGTGGCGCACTCATTATGAAAAAAAAGCAACAACAAGTGAGCAGAGACAAGAACGCAGAGTTGCATCCGCTCTGAAAAGTTACTCACAAAGAACTTTGATCAAACTAATATGCAGTATAGGTGAAGGGAAGCTCGTGCGTTTGGAGCGCGCGTGCGTGCGTGCGAGCAGGAGGGGTGGATTCTTCGACAGGCTTGAGGACTGTCGCGTGCCATCGTCCTTTAGGGAACATCTGCCCCTTTCCCTGGGGCGGTTTTGTTTATGTGAGAAACTTTGGTCCACAAGGGAAGAAAAATCAATAGTTCACCGGCCCGTGTGTTGATGCTGGAGACGCGGAATTCCTGCGTCTGCCAAATGTGTCCGCACATCTGTTATTTCTGTTATGCACGTATGATTGATAGCATACATGTAGAGATACATTGAGACATATTGTTACTGGAGTTTGGTTTATTTAGGCTACAGTTTGTGAAACTATGGGGCTGACTTTAATCAGGATTGTCGAACTAAAAGAGATAATTTCATTCATTCATTCATTCATTCATTCATTCATTCATTCATTCATTCATTCATTCAATCATTCATTCATCCAGTCATTCGTTCAGTCATTCATTTATTCATTCATTTATTTTCTTTTCAGCTTAGTACCTTTTTTAATCTGGGGTCGCCACAGCGGAATGAATCGCCAATTTATGCAGCCTGTGTTTTACGCAGCGGGTGCCCTTCCTGCTGTAACTCACTAGTGGTAAACCAGATAAATTAGTGCTCAAATATTATTTTATCCATATTATTAATTATATATGATGTCCATTCGTAACCCACTCCCTGACATTTTGTTTGTATAATTTCTCTTTTGGAAATTATAGCATATAGAAAACCTAAAGGAGAGATACAGTGCTCAGCATATACACAGTACAGTGTTGTCCCAACACAAAGTGATTAAGTTAATTTAACCCTTTTAACAAATTTGTGTGAATTGAACATAAAAAAATAAGTTGTCTCAATAAAATCTGAAGAATTGTGTTGTTTCAGCTCATTTTAAATAAGTAGTTGAGTGTATGAGTACACCCTTTTACAAACCTGTAATTTAAATTAATATTTTCTGTAGGAAGCTTAACAATATTATATTTGTGCATATACATTAGATTAGTACTGAAGCCAAATCTGGAGCTAATCTGTCAAAATAACCTATGATAACATTCCAAAATTAGTACATCCAAATTTATATGTTAGGGAAAAATATTTAACAAAAATTTGAAAAAGAGTAAAATTCAAGAAAAAAATAATTAAAAATTTAGTGGAAATTTTGTAGGTTGTAATTTTGTTTTCTAGTATTTTGCTTGAATTAAAACGTATTATATTTATTTCTAAAAATATTTGGTGAATAAAATAATTATTGTAATAATTATATCTATTCAATAAATCTGTTTTGTTCAAATGCATCAAAATACTTTGCCTATATTCACTGATAAATTAATAAAAACATTTGCAAAATGTGCTGTACTCAATTATGCTAATCACTGTCTTATAAGATAGTATGCTACAATTATTCATATAATCATAAATCACAACGTAAAAAACATCATCATAATTTAATTAATGAAATTTTAAATTATCTTATTTACCATTAATTTGGCTTTTTATCTAAAAGATTACAATTTATCCAGCCTATTAATTTTTTTCTTATTTAAAACAAAATATTTTCTGTCAAATTTATCACTGACAAAGTATTTAATGAGGCATAAAAGATTTCTAATCTATTTTTAGCTTTCATATTTGCAATTATCATTCAATCATTCGGTTTTTTTTCGGGGTCGCCACAGCGGAATGAACCGCCAACTTATCCAGCATATGTTTTACACAGCGGATGCCCCCATCTCTGGGAAATTACTCAGGACAGTGTTAACTAAAAAAATTGCATGCATTTTACAATCTCTTATCTTGTCAAAATGATAAACATTTAGCAACTTTTCATTTTCCGTTGGTCTTAGTATTTGTAATCATAGAACAATTCAGCTTTATATAGCAAAACTTTCAAAATTATTATTATTATTATTATTGATCGTGATGCTAATGGTCTAATCCAATTCAATGATTTATGCTAAGCTAAGCTAAAATTCAGCTCATCCAGACCCAGAAATCAGTTGAATGGATTTAAAAAAATAAAAGTCAACTGATTAATCTAGGGGACTTTTTATTGCAATCTGCGGATGCCCTTCCAGCCACAACCCAGCACTGGGAAACACCCACACACTCTTGCATTCACACCCAAACATACACTATGGCCAGCTTAGCTTATTCACTTCACCTATAGCGCATGTCTTTGGGCTGTGGGGGAAACCGGAGCACCCGGATCAAACAGAAATACCTACTGACTCAGTCGGGGCTCGAACCAGCGACCTTCTTGCCCACTGCGTCACCGAGTCGCCCATATTTACAATTATTATGCTAGAAATGCTGATTGGCTGCTGATGAGAACGACGCGCCGGAACAGGAAGTAAACGCAACATTGTAAACACCAGCGGTATTTCAGTTAGACATGCAGCTTTCAGCATGAGAGCATCTCACGCCAATTACCTGTAGTATTCTAGTCAGGTTATTCCTGCAACATCAAACTGTGAGTCAGTTTTTGTTTATTTAGCAGAACGGAGGGAATTATCAGTGACATAATAAGTGATAAAGGACAGCAGTTGTCCATGTCCGTACTATAGCAGCGGCGCACTAGTCAGCATTCACTCTCATCTGATCACAGTATAAAGGAGTAAGAATAATGTTCTAAGAAGTGAGAAACAAACAATATAATCATTTTCTTAGTTTTCTGAAAGTTCAGGTAAATAAGAAGGTCGTTGTATGAGGATATATTTAATGAATGTTTTAAAACATAAGCCAGATTTCAAATATGATATATGAAAATATAAACATGTCATACGCGTGTTAAGTACACGAGCTGCTTGTGATGTTGATTAGATGTTGCTTACTAATAAAATAACTAAAATGTAACAACAGGAACTTAACATTTCTGTAGTGCTTTAGGTAAAAACAGTTATGATTTGACATTATAGTGAAATTAAAGTTACCCTTTGAATGAAGACTTCTTGAATTAAGATTTTTTCTTTCTTTCTATTTTTTTTACACAAATGGTAAAAGGTTCAGAAAAATATTACTTAACACGTGTTTTATTATTTTACACTTTGTATTCATTAAAGTATGTTGTGTAGTAAAATATATTACTCCAGAAAAATATTAACGAAAAAAGGTCAATGTTAAATGTTGAATGTTATATCTATCTATCTATCTATCTATCTATCTATCTATCTATCTATCTATCTGTCTGTCTGTCTGTCTGTCTGTCTGTCTGTCTGTCTGTCTGTCTGTCTGTCTGTCTGTCTGTCTGTCTGTCTGTCTGTCTGAATGTCTATCTTTCAACTTTGTATTCACAGTTGTTTTTGATTAAATAAATAAATTATTTGTTAATTTATTACTGTTTCTAATTTTTCATTTATGATCTAGACATATATTTGCGTGTGTTTGATAAAAAATATAAATAACCTTTATTTAATTAAAACAGTGAAGTTTATATAAAGTGTCCAGTTGGTTGTAATATTCATGCATATTTATTTATTTTTATTTTATAAAACTTAACCAACGTAACGTTTAAAGCAATGATAGTTTTATTATTCATATTTTATATGTACTATTATGGCATGCAATTGCATCAAATAATGGCACAAAGCTATTTTTAAAACATTGATAAATGTGCATTGCGATAATCGTAATTAATAATCTCTATTACAAGTTCAGTGGAACAATTCCAAAAACTTAGTCATAAATGTGAAACACTAATAAATGTCTTGAACGTTTTTTTTTTTCTCTGAAAATGTTTACTTTTTGTCAAAATCAGATTTATAACCCTTGTGTGCTATTGGGGATGTTTTCATCCACGCATGGGTGATTTTGAGTCTTAATTGGGCCACAACTTTCTCTGAGTTTCAGCAAATGAAATGATTTTTGGTGACAAATCTGATTTTGACACATATTTTTGGAAAACTCCAAACACACACTGGGAGAAAAAAATGACTACCCTTTCATTTTGTTTATGGCTGTTTTTGCCCCATTGACTTCTATTATAAGACATTTTTTGATTGCAAACCCATGACACCATATAATCATGCATTCTTGATTTTTGATGGCTTTTTATCTGTTGGGAAGTGGTAAAAATTGTGATTTTTACTGTTGATCATCAGTTGCATTCCCCAAAAAAAGTCACTAAAGCACGAGTCATCTCAGACTGGTTTCTTGAAAATGAGAATGAGTTCACTGCACTCAAATGGCCTCCACAGTCACCAGAACTCAATCCAATAGAGCACCTTTGGAATGTGGTGGATCGGGTGATTCGCATCATAGATGTGCAGCCGACAAATCTGCAGCTACTACGTGATGCTATCATGTCAATATGGACCAAAATCTCAGAGGAATATCTCAAGTACCTTGTTAAATCTATGCCATGAAGGATTAAGGCAGTTCTGAAGTCAAAGGGGGGTCCAACCCGATACTAGTAAGGTGTACCTAATAAAGTGGCCAGTAAGAGATGTCATGGCTTTGCAATCAATAAATGTCATTATAATGGAAGTCAATAGGGTAAAAACAGCCACCAACATGTTGGAAAGGTAGTAAATTTGAACAATATGTATATCTGTATATGATTATCATGTCAACATTTGACAAAATAAAGATCTACAAAGTATTCACATATGCACTTTCATGTTGTATTCTAGGTGTGTGACATTCAGATTGAGCTGACGATGGGTGTGAAGGGCTTACAGTATTTCATGGAGGTGTGTTGCCCAGATTCCTGTGTGCCAGTGGACCTCAAACAAATGGCGGGAAATCACCTCAAAGCCCATCCGGACAGCACTGCCTCTTTAGTAGTGGACGCCATGGCCTGTTTAAGATATTGGTATCGCTGTCCGGCCTGGGTCCACGGAGGCCAGTGGAAAGAATACATCAACATCCTTCAAGAATTCATCAACGCGTTCACAGCAGCAGGAATACGATTAATCTTCTTCTTCGATGGAACCGTCGAAGAGCGAAAGCGCTCAGAATGGATAAAGAGGCGTTTGAGAGTCAACCAAGACATCGCCAAAGTATTCCAGCACATTAAGACACACAATCAACAACCAAACAGCAGAAACCTCTTCTGTCTTCCCTCAGGACTTGCAACGTTCTCAAGATTTGCTTTAAAAAGTCTCGGTCAGGAGACTTTCTGCTCGGTTCGTGAAGGAGATTACGAGGTCGCGGATTATGCTCTGTCTCACAACTGCATGGGGATTCTCGGTCAGGATACAGATTTCGTCATCTATAACACTGTGCCGTATTTGTCCATCAGTAAACTGCATTTAAACAGCATGACCACTGTGCTGTTCTCCAGAGAAAAGCTGTGCCGGGTTTTGCAGCTTCACGTTCATGATCTCCCACTGTTATCTTGTCTTTTGGGTAATGACGTCGTTCATGAGCAGCAAATGCAGCGGCTTCGTAACATCGCTTTGGATTCGTATCGGATGAAATGTAAGGAGGTTCAAGGAGACAGGGTGTACGCTGCCGCAGAGTTTATTAACATTCATAAGCCCAGCTGTGAGGGAACGGTTGGTTTGTCTCAGCTTTCTTTGGTTAAGGCTGAGGAAGAAGCTCTGGAAAGAGGAATATGCATGTATTTGCTTCCAGGGCAAACGTCTCCATGGGTAAAGCGAAGTGTTTGGTCTTCTGAGCCCACGTGTGCAATGAGCGAGTTCGTGGCTGGTGATATTTTAGAGGTAAAAAGGGAAAACGCTCGGTGGGGTTGATGACGAACAAATGTGGAATTCAAATTTGATTGAAGAATCGTTCTAAAAGCTTATTGAAAAAAAAAAATCAACGATCTGTAGTTAAAGGGCTCCCATTATGTTGCTTTTTACAAGATGTAAGATAAGTCTTTAGTGTCTCCAGAATATGTTTGTAAAATTTCAGCTCATAATGCACATCAGATCATTTATTAAACTGCCGAAAATATCAATTTTGGGAAGCATGTTTACAGATTGATATTTTTCTGATCCCTTAACTCTGTGGTCAGTTGTTCTGGAAAATATAAACAGATGTTTCAATATTATGTTATTGATACTTTCTGTCGGAATTTATGTTTTGAGTTTTTACTGCAAATGTCACATCCATAATGCTGGAATGTCTCAATAATAATAATAATAATATAGTATTTGGGGCGATGCAGTGGCGCAGTAGGTTGTGCTTTCGCCTCACAGCAAGAAGGTCGCTGGGTCGATGGTTCGATCCTCGGCTCAGCTGGCGTTTCTGTGTGGAGTTTGCATGTTCTCCCTGCGTTCGCGTGGGTTTCCTCCGGGTGCTCCGGTTTCCCCCACAGTCCAAAGACATGCCGTACAGGTGAATTGGGTAAGCTAAATTGTCCATAGTGTATGAGTGTGTGTGTGAATGGTTCCGCTGTGTAAAAACTTGCTAAATAAGTTGGCGGTTCATTCCGCTGTGGCGACCCCGGATTAATAAAGGGACTAAACCGACAAGAAAATGAATGAATATAGTATATGTATACACTTAATTTGTGCTGGAACATGCACCTCTTAAATCACCTCATTTTACCGATCCCTTTCCACAACATGCATCTGTTTCCCCGATCGGTTCTATGACCTCGCAATTTTTAAAGGTGCTGTTGACTTGAAATTTTCCCCGGGTGTTGTTAAAACCAAATATATCCATATATGCAAAGAAATGAATCTAATTAGTTTACAAATTAAGTTCTGAGTAATAAAATGAAATGACGCAGGGAAAAAATATTGAACACACGAAGAAAGGAAGGAGTAGAAATGCAGTGAAAGACCAGACAGCAGCGGAAATCTCTCAGTAGTTCTTCAGCAACCCTCTGACCTTCGTCATTGTAAATGAATATTAGCCTCTTCAGTCCAACATCCACATTATCAGGATGATGAAGATGAAACCAGGGTGGACATTTCAGCAAGACAATGATCCAAAACACAGCCTCTCACTGGTTTCAGAGAAAAAAAATCAAGCTGTAGAATGGCCTGGCCAATCACCTGACTTGAATCTTATAGAAAATACAAATTAAAGGTTAGATTTGCTCGACGAGACCCACAGAACCATCAAGATTTTGACACTCTGTTGAAGTCTGAAAAACTCACCCCTGAGCAATGCATGTGACTTTATTCTCCATATGAGAGGCGACTGGAAGGGCATCCGCTGCATAAAACATATGCTGGATAAGTTGGCGGTTCATTCCGCTGTGTTGACCCTGGATTAATAAAGGGACTAAGCTGAAAAGAAAATGAATGAGTTCAGTGCTTGTGTCATTCCATTGTTATTGCACATAACTCATTTTTCACATATTTTGTTTGGGGTTTTACCAAAATCTGGTTCAACTGCTCCTTTAGAAATGTCAACAGCTCTTTTGGAAATATTATTTCCAGGAAAAAACATGTTCAATACTCATTTTCCCCACTGTATATATCTAGAATATAAATAATATGAAAATAATTCTGGAAATTTTATATTTATTTGATTTGATAATAAAATAAAATCATCAAAGTGGTAAAGAATGCAAATGAATGGGAAGGACAGAGCACATTGGTATATTCCAGCATTATTTTCACTTTTGGGTTCCTCTGTGTTTAATAAAAGCAGCAGAGCCACTAGCAGGACCATGGCTTTTTGTTTGTATGTTCACTAAGTGTTTCCATGTTGCAGGCCGCAGTGGAGCAGCATAGGCGGGCTGAGAGTTTCTTCATCTATAATGTGTTGTATGACGGAGTCGTGGAGTGCAGTAACACACTGGAGGACGAGGACGAGATGGAGCTTCCACCACAGGCCATCTTATATCTGCCCATCCGGGAACGAATATACGGCATTTTACTGCCAACGGAGCCAGGTGTGTTTCATCCCACAGTTTACTTACAATGATCATATATTTAAAGCTTTATTGTGTTGCTATTGTGTCATTTTGTGAGATATTTAATGCTTCAATATGTACGTCTGGTGAAAGTAAGATTGAGCTACTTTTCTGTGTTTATTATGAGGTAATGCGCTACAGAATGGTCCCAATATAAACACTTGTAAACACATGCAGGCTCATTTGAGTGATTCAGGACTAAAACACGATACTTTTGATACTTCTGCTTAAGGACTGTGTTATTTGTGTGTTGTCAGATTGTCCAGTTTAAACAAATTATTTGTAAAAAAAAAACAAAACTTTTTTTTAGGGTTCCCAATTTATGTTTTGTTGTTAAAGTATTACAAGTAGTTTTTAAAGATTAAATTAAATATTAATCTAAATAAAATTTTAAAAAGAAATAACAATAAAAGTAAAATAAAATCCGAAAACTGAAAATAAAAAAGCTCAAATTAATTCAAATTATATAAAAATATGCATTATATAAAATAAATAATTTCCATTTCCATCCTAAATTGCTTATTTATTTATTTATTTATTTATTTATTTATTTATTTATTTATTTATGTATGTATGTATTTTGTTGTTCAGCAGATTAATTTTGACAAAAAATAGACTGTCAAATTATAGTTATTATTTAGTGATAGGGATAAAATATTATAATTTTAAATTGCAAATTGGCATCAAAACCTTTAAAACATGTAATAAATAAATTGATGGATGGATGAATGTATTGATTAATTGATTGATTGATTGATTGATTGATTGATTGTTAATTTCTCTAGTATAAACAAAAGGTTTGCAAAAACACATTTCAAATGGTTTCCATGTAGTTTTGTTGAAGTATTACAGATCATTTTAAAGGTAACACTAAATTTAAAAAAACTTCAAAACTGTAAAATTTGTTTATTTCGGAATCTGATTTCTGAATTTTTGGTTATGTAACTTCTAAATTTAGTTTTTTTTTTAACTTAGCTTTTTTAGATTTATTTATTTATTTATTTTCTTGGTCAGCAGAGTAAAGTTTAATATTTATTTTATTATTTAGTGATATAAGGATAAAATATAATAATATTATATTGTAACACCTTTATGAGATATAATGAATGAATGTATGCATGAATGAATGAATGAATGAATGAATTGTCAATTTCTCCAGTATAAACAAAAGGTTTGCAAAAAAGCTTTTTAAAAGGTTTCCAGGTAGAGTTTTATTGAAGTATTATAGATCATTTTAAAGGTAACATTTAATTTGAAATATAAACAATGATGACAAAATCACAGTAAAATAAAGTATCAGACCTAAAAAAATAACAAAAATTTATAATTTCGAATTATATAAAGCATTATGTGGGGTATAAGTAAATATTAATTTACATTTTCCATGCAAAACGTGTTAAGTTTGTTTTATTTCGGAATTTGATTATGTAACTTCTAAATATAGAAATTAGAAATTGCTTATTTTTTCTATATTTTTTTATTTATTTATTTATTTACTTATTTAGTTATTCGACAGAGTAAAGTATGATAATTCTTTGGTCAGATTAATTTTGACAAAAAATACATTGTCAGACTATAGATATTATTTAGTAAAATTGGGATGAAACAAAAGTTTCAAAAGTGTCATCAAAACCTTTAGACCAATAATAAATAATTAAATAAATAGATTAGATAGACAGACAGACAGACACACAGACAGACAGACAGACACATAGACAGACAGACAGACACATAGACAGACAGACAGACAGACAGACACATAGACAAACAGACAGACACATAGACAGACAGACAGACAGACAGACAGACAGACACATAGACAAACAGACAGACACATAGACAGACAGACAGACAGACACATAGACAGACAGACAGACAGACACATAGACAAACAGACAGACACATAGACAGACAGACAGACAGACACATAGACAGACAGACACATAGACAGACAGACAGACAGACACATAGACAGACAGACAGACAGACACATAGACAGACAGACAGACAGACAGACAGACAGACACATAGACAAACAGACAGACACATAGACAGACAGACAGACAGACACATAGACAGACAGACAGACAGACACATAGACAGACACATAGACAGACAGACAGACAGACACATAGACCGACAGACAGACAGACAGACAGGCACACACTTCCTGACTAAAGTCTTTTTCCCAGTTTTAAGAGCAACAAATAATAACTCGACTTCTAGTTGATCATTTGGAAAAGTGTCAGAAGGCAGATTTTTCCGATGAATCATCTGTTGAGCTGCATACCAATCATCACAAATACTGCAGAAGACCTATTGGAGCCTGCATGGACCCAAGATTCTCACAAAAACCAGTCAAGTTTGGTGAAGGAAAAGTCATGGTTAGGGGTTGGGGGAGATCTGCAGAGTGGATGGCAACATCAACAGCCTGAGGTGTCAAGACATTTGTGCTGCCCATTACATTACAAACCACAGGAGAGGGCAAATTGAGCAGCAGGTTAGCACTCCTTCTCATACTTCAGCCTCCACATCAAAGTTTCTGAAAGCAAAGAAGGTCAAGGTACTCCAGTATTTGCCAGCCCAGTCACCAGACATGAACATTATTGAGCATGTCAGTGGTAAGATGAAGGAGAAGGGATTGAAGATGAATCCAAAGAATCCTAATGAACTCTGGGAGTCCTGCAAGAACGCTTTCTTTGCCATTCCAGATGACTTTATTAATAAGTGATTTGAGTCATTGCAGAGATGTATGGATGCAGTCCTCCAAGCTCATGGGAGTCACACACAATATTCATTCTTTTTCCAGTACAGCATCACTTTATATTCTATACTGTACATTATTTCTGTTAAGTGACAAGGCTTTTGTCTAAGCAAAGTCAGACCTTACTGTCCTAATTAAATAATTAAAAATTAAGGCATGTTCATGTTTTATTTTAGTAAAATAAGTGTAATCTAGAGGCCTTTGCCTTTCATGTAGACCACTTCTGATACTAGAAGTCAAGTTATTATTTGTTGCTGCTAAAACTTGGATTTTGTCAAGTAGTGTAGATAGATATTTGTATTGATAATTTTAAGTAATTATTAAATATATTATTATTATTAATTATAATTTAAGCAAAAATAAAATAACAAAATAAAATATAAAGCTAATTAATATTTGAAAAAGAAGTAATACTGACAAATCTTAAAACTGAATATATATATATATATATATATATATATATATATATATATATATATATATATATATATATATATATATATATATATATATATATATATATAAAATTATGTAGTTTATAAATAATATTAAAACAATACTGGAAAATCGACAGAAAAACTCAAAAAAAAATTTAAAATTCTTTATATACTGAAATTGATTTCTGAATTTCTAGTTATTCATTCATTTTCTTGTCGGCTCAGTCCCTTTATTAATCCGGGGTCTCCACAGCAGAATGAACTGCCAATTTATCCAGCAAGTTTTTACGCAGCGGATGCCCTTCCAGGCGCAACCCATCTCTGGGAAAATCTCATGTTGAAAACAAGGGCCAGACCAAACGGGACAAAACCTCTCCGATTTCAAACAGTGGAGTCTATACTATAATTTGGTAAAAACTCTGTCAGTCAAATGATTTCATAACATAGAAGCAGATTGATCAAATTTTCTTTCTGTGCCACTTTTTAAAGGTCTTTGAGTTTTCTTGTTTTGCATTGCTTTTCTCTCTCTTTAAAAGATGGTTCTGGCCACACTGTGTCTGTCAAGGAATGGTTCGTCTTTCCAGGAAATCCACTTAAAGAGCCCACCAGAGTCACTCCAAAACCCATCCGTCATCTGAGTATGTAAACTAGTAGTTATGTTTTATATAATTACTTGTCAGAATGAAGTACTGCAAAGATAAAGGATTTTACACCCCATGTAGAATCAATGAAAATGCTAATCTTTTTGACAAAATAAGATAGATTGTACAAAATGCATGCTATTTTTTAAAGTTAGCACTGTTCTGAGTAAGATATTTGACATAATAGATGTGTACAGTTTGTACTTAAAATAAAAAAGTCCCCTAGAGTTGATCAGTTGAGTTTTACTATTTGTGAATCCATACAGCTAATTTCTGGGTCTGGATGAGCCATTTTAGCTTAGCTTAGCATAAATCATTGAATCTGATTAGACCATTAGCATCTCACTCCAAAAAATGTATAATAATTTTGATATAGATGCTATTTAAAGCTGGACTCTTCTATAATTACAAGTACTGAGACCAACGGAAAATGAAAAGTTGCTAAATGTTAATAATTTTGACAAAATAAGAGATCGTACAAAATGTATGCTATTTTTTCATGCTGATTTTAAGGTCTGGAGTGAGCCATTTTAGCTGAGCCTAGCATAAATGATTGAATCAGATTAGACCATCTCGCTAAAAAAAAGTATTTTGACAAAATAATAATAATATATTAAAATAACAAAATAATAATGAAATAATAAAATAACAAAATATTAAATAAAACAAAGTTGAAAAATAAGAGAGATTGTAGAAAGTGCATGCTAATTATTTAGTTAGTACTGTCCTGAGTAAGATGTTTTACATAAAAGATGTGTACAATTTGCACTTAATTAAAAAATCCCCTATTGTTAAAACAGTGGAGTTCTACCATTTTAAAATCCTTCAAACTGATTTCTGGGTCTTGAGCAATTCCATTTAGCTTAGCCTAGCAAAAAGCATGAAATCTGATTAGACCATTTGCATGTTGCTAAAAAAAAATGAAATCATAGTTTTGATAATAATTTTGTTGTTAAGGTTAATAATAATCAAGACAATAGAGGTTGTACAAAATGTATGCTATTTTTTTAATACTGTGCTGAATAAGATGTTTTACATAAAATATGTGTACAGTTTGCTCGTTTATAAAAAAAAATGTCCCCTATAGTTAAAACATTTGAGTTTTACCATTTTTGGATTCATTCAGCTTATTTCTGAGATATTTTACATAAAACGTGTACAGTTTGCTCATAAATAAAAAAGTCCACTATTGTTAAACGAGTTGAGTTTTACCATTTTTTAATCCATTTAGCTGATTTCTGGACCTTGAGAGAGCCATTTTAGCTAGGCATAAATTAATAAATCCAATTAGACTTTTAGCATCTTGCTTTAAAAAGTTAGTTTTGCTATTTACAGTTGGACTTTTCTGTAGTTATATTGAGTACTAAAACCAACATAAAATGAAAAGTTGCAATTTTCCAGGTCAATATGGCTAACAACAATACTGTAATTACGATGCATTAGTCTAGGAACTTTGCTGCCACATCATTGGCTGCAGCCGGCGCAATGATATTACACAGCACCTTCACCTAGCTGAGGACTATTTTCAGATACTAAATCATATTATTGTGCCTGCTGCTAAGCTAAGCTAAGCTTAAAGTTCTCTCACCCGACTCAACTCCAGGGCACTTGCTAAAGAAGGCTATTTCCAGAAAAGTGGAGTGTTCCTTTTAGAGCAGGAAGTGAAAATTTTTGGACAGTAACAATATCTACATTTTGTGGCTATATATAAGTATATATTTTCCAGAAACAAACAAATAGTGCTTCAGAGGGAATTAATCCGTCAGTGCTCTTTGGATAAGGAAGTTTTAAAGATACACAAAAAAAACATTAGTCCAAGGCACTCAAACATTTTAAGAGCCTTGGACTAATATTTTTTTCACATAGTATTGCCCTTTGGCGATAGGAACAGGCAAAGCAACAGACGATAATACTTGCATTTTTCCCAGAGAACAAATAAACTACAGCATGCCTTGATCTTCCAATTGCAAAAGTTTTCACCCCCCTATTTTTTATGCATTGTATATCCTTCTGGACCATCAGCAAGTGTTTGAACCTCTTTTTTATTTTAAAAGTTGTGTTTGAACCTCTTTTTTATTTTAAAAGTTGGTTTTGAATCCCTCAATTGTTCTCAGTGTGAAAAGATGAATCTCTCAATCATACAGTCTCTGCTGGAAACAGTTCAAATCTGCATAAATATGCTGAAAACGGAAGAATCTTACAGACATGGAGAATTTTGAATGTTGTTTAAACAAGGGGCTTGTGAACAACCACTACAAAGCAAAAAAAGAAAAAAATTCTAGATCATTCAGCTAACCACACACAGTTTAAAATACCAAGGCTCTACAAATGTTTGCACCGAGTTATTTTGTTGATTTCAGCTGAGATTTTGTCTTGTGGGCCATGTAAAGATGTTTTATGTTCAATATTTTACTCGGGACATTAGGTATTCTGTGTTCACTCTCATTTTGTCAATATGATTCACATTTTTACAGGTTTAAAAACTTGGGCTTTGTCTCATGTTTTAAGCATTGCTCCCTTTCTTCATTTAATGTTGATAATATCTGAGATCTGTGCTCTGTTGTTGCTGTACATAATTCTTTTTGTTTGCTTTGCACAATTTGTACACACAGATGCTTTTCGTGATGAAAAGATAAAGCCTGTTTGGTTCGATCAGAGTATTTTGCTGAAAATGTAAACCTGTTGTGAATATTAAATGTTATGTTCAGCTATGTTCCTGTGAGTGCAAGCATTATTTATGAACAATCCGTGAATGATTGTAAAAATCGTAACCGACATAAATCAGAATCCTTAAAGCTGCTTAACTATTTAGTGTAGGGCTTCATAACATTTAAAAATGAATATTCATCAAACTAATTTGAATATTAGTTAAAGACAACACAAGTAAACACATCAAGCAAGTTTTTAAATGAAGGCTTTTATTATTTAGGGAAAACTAAATTCAAATCTACATAACCCCCACCACCCCCTGTTAAAATATAACTATGGTTTAGTACACCAGAGTTCAATTTATCTAGCCATACCCAGGCTTGTATGAGTTACCCTAATATAACCTTCATTTATTCTCATGCACATCAACCCCCAAAAGTAAAATCTGTGCTCAAATTGTGCTCAACAGAAGGGCCTCTTGATCTGAGGTCTGTGTGGTTCAAGACGGACCCTGAGGTGAAAACAATCAGAACATCAACACTCCTGGACATCTTTGACCTGTACGAGTTCACTGAAGAGCTGAAATACTTTGACAGCCCTTTGATTGCAGTGATTTGTCTTGTAACCTACATCGCCATTCAGGTGTGTTTAACTTTTCATCATCGGGGCTTTCACTTGAATGTAAACAAATGGCTTTGTTCGGGTCAGTTGGCACCACATACGCTCTGCTATCCTTTATTTATTAATGATGTGTGTGTGTGTGTGTGCTCGCTGCATGTCAAAAGAGTTCAACAGTGTCTCTGTTTATTGTGCCTTATCAGACACCCTATGCATTGTGTTCAGGTGTGTGTGTGTGTGTGTGAGGGGGGCTGCTTGTTGTGTATACTTGAGTGTGATTTTAACAGCTTGCGTGTCAAATAAAAACACTTTTGCTCTTGAATCTAGACGAGACAGCTTTCCCTGGAAGACGTAGATGCATATCTGAGCCAGGCTGTTTGTGTCAGATTCAAGTCCTTCAGAGAAACGCAACAGCTCAGGGTGAGTCATTCGAGACGCCTCTGCCTTTTCTGAAAGCATTGTGTTTTACGCTCACACACACACACTCGCCCGTTTTAACTGGCCTCAGTTTTTGGAGGCTTCTACAAAACATCTGAGGTCATGTGTGTTATTTTGTAATAGCAAAAAAGAGAGAAATAAGACAAGCTATTTTCACTGTTTCTACAGGTTGTCTGCAAGTATTAAAGGGCACCTATGTTGAAAAATCTACTTTTCAAGCTATTTGGACAGACATATGTGCATATATAGTGTATAGACCATAATATTGGGGTGAAATAAACACACCCAGTCCTTTTTTTTTCAATTAAACAACATAAAAACGGTGGACCAATTAGAGAGGTTTTCAGACCGACCGCAACTTTATGTAGGAGTGCGATCCCCCCGCCCACCGAATTGATTGACAGCTGCGCGCATTAACATGTTCCGGTAGTCACGTGTATATGTCAACAAGACCAGGCAGACATACGCAAAGCAACCGGGAATAAATGGTCTGTTCTGTTCGCTAGGATCAGCAATCATCATCAAATGTGATTAAGAGTAAGTTTCACATGTTTAAAGTGTTTTAAAACAGAGTATGTGTGTAATTAATTACAGCGATTTACTTCAGCGTTACTTCATCAGCACAGCCGCGTGTCAGAACAATTATAAAGGAAGACGCTTCAATCCCGGTTTGTGGAAGTTAAATCAGGTTTATTTTGTAGATTAGCATAACAGATATCCACACAGCACTGGAGGTTAGCCTGTATCCTGTCACATCTGAGTGCAAAAACAGTGCTAAGCGTGCTCTGTCTGCCTGCCTGCCTGTGTGTGTGTGTGTCAGCTGCGGTGTGCGTGTGTATCTCTGTGTGTGTGTGTGCGCGCACGTGTGAACTTTGTAACGATATTGTGTGTGACTCATCAATGCAACTTCTCAATACTGATTAGTAAAGATTAGTTCTTACTGTAGTATTTCTCACAAACGCTACGTGAGACCTTCTTCCTTTAAGTCTGTCTGTTGTCTGACGCAGCCGAGGGAGGAGATTAAAGCACGCGGGAAGGCACGTAGAAATAGTAGGTGGGGAGAACTTGCCTTAAAGGCGCAATACGACAAAACCACCCCCTGCTGGAAATCAGTATAAAACAGCATCTTGTAAAAGGTATAATGAAAAATCTGATGGGTGTTTTGAGCTGAAACTTTATGTACACATTCTAGAGATGCAAAAGACTTATATTAAATCTGAAAAAAAGGGTAACCTAGGTGCCCTTTAAAAATTGATAAATCAATTATGAGAAAATTAAGGCCCTTAAAAGGTATTAAAAAGGCTTTTACAAGATCTTAAATTTTGTTCAAGCGTTGTCCAAAGTGACTCCAAAAAAGCATAAATACACTTGTTTTCCCCTTAATATTAACAACGGCGTGCTCCATCCACGTGATTGGTTTGGGCCGGGGCACGTCCGGCCAAGCTCCTCCGTCCGGGTGATGTCACGTAATTTTCATGATGCTAAAGGAAAACATTTGTTTCTAACGTCCTGGAAGCAGACATTTATGAGGGTACGTCACGATTAAAAAAATGAAGTGATGTTTTGTACAGTTTGCCGTCAGTTTGGCAGGTCAGCCATCTTTTGCTTTGCAATAAAATATCTGCACATTTTGCTACATTTGTTTGCAAAACACTTTGAATTTTGTTTATTACACACTTATTAACATTTTTAAAATAATTAAATTCTAGATTTACAAACATTTTGACACATTTCTTTTTTAAATTTGTGGCTAGGAAATAGCTATTAATTTTTTTTGGTAGGGCCAGTGAAAATATTGGCAGTGCAAGTAAAAATCTGAACCACTGATTCTTCCACCTTTATCCAGAATGGGCGGCACGGTGGCCCAGTGACTAGCACTGTTGCCTCACAGCAAGAATACCAAGGGCGTTGGGTCCTCGCTGGGCCACCTGGTATTTCTGTCGGAGTTTGCATTTTCTCCCCATGTCCGCGTGGGTTTCCCCCGCATTCCCCGGTTTCCTTCCACCATCCAAATATGCTCTATATTATAGATAAAATAAGTCTTACTCTCAGGAAGTTCACCTTGGCCTCAACAGCAAGGGAGTTTGAGAGTGACCTGAGCTCAATCTCCCCTCGACCTGCGAAAAGGGGGAGCCCTGGGCTCGAGGATCCCTTGAGCTCAGGGCTCTCTCCCGGGACAGCACGCCAAACAAGCTATGTGTAAATTGTGAGCTAAGCGTGAACTTTTGAATGTTAATTTAAGCTATATATTAGCTAAGAATTTAAACAAACTGTTGTGATTATCTGCGTTCTTACATACATAATTATTTTAGTCATTTGTAATAATTCGTCTAACATATCTTTTGTTTACATTGCACTGAAAGCCAAGCACAACTCTCACCACTACACTCTCATTTCTACTATGTGCACCTGTAGGGCGCGTGTGCGTCGGTCTGCTTGCGAGCCATGCACTCAGCCCTCCCAATATGCACACATCTTCATTGGAATTAATGTACTTGCTTGCAGAAAAGATGCAATATGTCAACGGCTTGCTGCTATAGTTAATCAAATGTGTGTGCATATTGGCATAACTTTGGTTAGTTGCAGCAGCTTTTTTTCCATGTGACAGAAAAGCGGCATTGAGAAGCCATTAAGGAATAAAAGCGAGGTTAATAGTGAAATCGGCTAATCGATGCATACCTTTTAACGATATCAGTGCATTGTACAGAAGGCCTCTTCTACAAACATATCTAAATGTTTTGGCTGCTCGCACCCCTCGCTTAATGTCAGGTGACTCACTCTCTGAGTAGCCTTTAACTGCAGCTTGTGCTGTATTGAACAGACGCACGCCACTTCATAACTGTAGTGACTGTTTTTTGACTGTACTCAATTTATTTTTGATGTCTTGGTCACTCTAGTTGGATTGCCAGAACAAGTTGCCTCTGGGGCCGGGTTCAGCCCGCAGGTCACCAATTGAATAGCCCTGTCATAGACCATTCCCCCAAGGAAATCAGGATAGATCAAGTTAGTATTGACTGAAGAGCTACAGTAGATCATAAACACAGTGCTCAGCAACATAGAGACGCAACAAATGAAGCCTTTTTTTTCTTTAGAGATGCATCAGATTCTTTTGCTATTTGAAAAAAAAGAGACCGGAGGGGTAATTTCTGGTTGCTTTGCGACATTCCTCCCAAAAACTACTCTAATTGTGGTCTGAACCTGAGAGCGATGCTCTGGTGACGGGCTCCGCGTCGTCCCCGCCGGCGACCACAGGGCTATTTCAGCTCCCACCCTAATTTAAGCCTCCTCTGCGTGCTATTTTAGACCCAGCCACCAAGGGCGGCCTGTGGTTTCGCAGTGCTTGGATTGAAAGCACAGATAATGGATGATAGAGGGACAAATTAGAGCCTCTTGGGAGATATCCAGGAAGCCACCTCCTAATTTACGGATCCTCCTGTGTCTACTGCTGTCGGTTTTACGTCTGGTGTGAATCCCTCCAGTCTGTTGTATTCAGCTGCTGATGCATGTCTCAGCCTTGACTCACCAAACGTCAATATAGATGAGCTGTTAAGCTGTTTGGGTTGTCGACGTGACGTTGCGTTTTCACTGTCCATTTTAAATTGTCATAAATAATTTAAATTAGGTTTCTATCAGGGTGCACACAATGGCACTTCAAGTCGTTGACAGGGCGCCGCGGACAGCCGCTGACTTGAAGCGCCGTTAGGGCTGCTCGATTTTGGGAAAAATCATAATCACGATTATTTTGGTCATAATTTAATCACGATTATTTAAAACGATTACTGTTGAAGTAAAAATTATTAGCGCTCCTGAGAATATGTTTTTTTTTTTATAAATATTTCCCAAATGATGTTTAACAGAGCAAGGAATTTTAACAGTATTTCCTGTAATATTTTTCTTCTAGGCTTATTTGTTTTATTTTGGCTAGAATAAAAGCAGGTTTAAATATTTTTAAACCCATTTTAAGGTCAATATTATAAGCCCCCTTAAGCAATATATTTTTTGATTGTCTGCAGAAGAAACTACTGTTATACAATGAACTGCTTAATTACCCTTATTAAGCCTTTGATTTGCACTTTAATCTGAATGCATGTATTTAGAAAAATATCTAGAAAAATGTTATGTACTGTCATCATAGCAAAGATAAAAGAAATCAGTAATCAGAAATGAGATATCAAAGCTATTATGTTCAGAAAAAAAGTAAAAAAAAAAACTTCTTTCCATTAAACAGAAATTGGGCAGGAAAAGGATTGCTAATATTCAGGAGGGCTAATAATTCTGACTTCAATGTATACATACAGTTATTTTCCTCCCTGCAAAGAAAAGATAAATAAATACAATAGAATAAAAATATGAAACAAACTGTGCTTTAAGCATCTTCACTGTAAGAATAAAACTTTAGCTAAAAAAGTCCTTCAGTCAAGAGCAGTGAGGGATTTTCTCGTTTTGTTTGATTAATGATAAAAACAACATCGCGCGCTGTCTCTTTAATGATTTCTCTTTCACGTGTCTTTTGATCCTCAACTCGTAACTCATTTGTTTATTAAACAAATTAAGGTTATTATAAGTAATCACTAAACACCGCGTTTTGACACCTATTTGACCATTAAAGTGCTCACATTAAGATGACTTTAGATGTCTGCGCCTCGTCCGTTTCGTGAGGTGCGCGCGCGGTCAGCGGAGGTGTGCGATCCGGCGTCAGGCGCGAGTATAATTCCAGCTTCAGTGTGCGAATGAGACCGAATGCTGACCGGCCGCATGCTTCTGGGTGTCTGCGCGTGCCGCACATACATAAGCACGCGGTCTTTCACGCTTTTAGGAGCAACAGCTGGAAAGGGGGTGGTAAATGATGCACTAATCGTTTATCTCGATTAATGCTTTTTCATAATCGTTTGAAGCCAAAATCGAAATCGGATTTTCGATTAATTGCACAGCCCTAAGCGCCGTTGTGTTTACCCTGATAGAAACCTATGTTTAGAATTCTA